AACATGACAAGTATTTTTTGTGACACAAAGTGAGTTAATCAGAACTTAATCAGGGTTTCCCTTAAGAACGTGATAAAGAGAGTTTTTATAAGATAAATTTGTGGCACTGAACTGAGGGTTGACTGTATGTGATTCAGTTCAGCAATGTTTTCATTGGTGCTTTGCCAGAAAATTGAGTGAATGTCCGAATATGGGAGGTTTTTGTATTACATACAGTTTTTCCTGCCATCTATTCAATTTTCCCTTCAATTTCACAGGCCATTTGATGCAAAGAACCCGTTCTTAGCGACAATTGTGGCTCACCGAGAGATCCACAAGAATGGCGACCGGAACTGCATGCATCTGGAATTTGACATAACCGGATCGAGGATCCGTTATGAATCTGGAGACCACGTCGCCATCTACCCGACGAATGAGGAAGTTCTGATCGAACGGCTTTACGCTTTATCTGATGGTAAACACGACTTGGACACAGTTTTTACCCTGACTGCGATCGAAGGTGAGTCGAGTCCTTTTTTTGTTGTTTCTCTCAATAAATACCGTACTATTTTCAAGCACGTGAAGGTCTGAGATTGTTTTTCGGGATCATATTGAATCATGATGAATATCTTCGTTCCTTTGAAATAAAAATTAGAGGAGTTTTCTAAAATGGATATAAACGGCACTCTTATGCGCTCCTGGGTCAAAAGTAACTACAAAACAAAAAATAGAAAGTTGTTTACCCGTTTGAAAAAGGATAACGTATCTTAGCACTTGTAGACAATATTAAAAAACTGAATAAAAAAATTTGAAATACGCGGAAGTAAAAAAGTCCACGTGCTGTTCAATTCTATGTAGTCTTATATTTTTCATTGCCAGTGACTCGAACGACAAATTTATTTAAGCGTGAATCGTCGTTTCTTTTCAAAATAAATGAGTTGAATGAGTTCTTGTTGACAGACTGAACCTTGAAAAACGCTAGCAAGTTTTGCGAAGGCGCTCTATAAAAAGAAGTCGGGTGTTGATGATGGAGTAAAAATATTCTGGAGGGGCTTGATCCAACTTTAAAATTACCATTTTTATTTTCAACACGTTTAACCCTCTCTATCAAGCAACAAGCAAAAAAAATCGACTTAGTAAGGTTAGAAGTTAGGAAAACAAGCATTTCCTTGGGGGAAAGGAAATTGTATTTGGTTATATATTCTGGGCCTTAAATTGATTCTTAAATGATTTGACGGGATGCTGAAGTTGGAGGCAAAGGTTTTATTCGCCCAATTAGTCTTTCACTTCCTTTCAAAACACATTGTTACATTGGTATTCCTTTTCTCTTTTCTGTGTCAATAAAATAATAGCCAAAAGGCCCCCAGAGTCATGGAAGTCCAAGGAGGGGAACCTTTGAATTCGGGAGGTTTTTAACGCATGGATTCCATGAAAATTCAGACATGGACTTATAAAGGGTTCAACATGAAATTTAAAATTTTTTTTCTATTTCCCTCGATTTTTTCAGAGGATTCGAATAAGAAATTTCCTTTCCCGTGTCCGTGCACTTTCCGCACTGCCCTGCGTCACTACGTGGACATCACCAGTTTGCCCAGGACCCACGTGCTGAAGGAACTCTCCGAGTATTGCACTGATGAGGCGGACAAGGCCAAGCTCAAGTTGATTGGCCAGCCCAGCGTCGAAGGGAAGGAGTTGTACAACAAATGGATTGTCAA